TTGAACCCCCTGGTGCTTGAACCCCCTGGTGCCTGAACCCCCTGGTGCTTGAACCCCCTGGTGCCTGAACCCCCTGGTGCCTGAACCCTCTGGTGCCTGAACCCCCTGGTGCTTGAACCCTCTGGTGCCTGAACCCCCTGGTGCTTGAACCCTCTGGTGCCTGAACCTCCTGGTGCTTGAACCCCCTGGTGCTTGAACCCTCTGGTGCCTGAACCCCCTGGTGATTGAACCCCCTGGTGCTTGAACCCCCTGGTGCTTGAATCCTCTGGTGCCTGAACCCCCTGGTGCTTGAACCCCCTGGTGCTTGAACCCTCTGGTGCCTGAACCCCCTGGTGTTTGAACCCCCTGGTGCTTGAAACCCCCTGGTACCTGAACCCCCTGGTGCTTGAACCCCCTGGTGCTTGAAACCCCCTGGTGCTTGAAACCCCCTGGTACCTGAACCCCCTGGTGCTTCAACCCCCTGGTGCTTGAAACCCCCTGGTACCTGAACCCTCTGGTGCTTGAACCCCCTGGTGCCTGAACCCCCTGGTGCTTGAACCCCCTGGTGCTTGAAACCCCCTGGTACCTGAACCCCCTGGTGCCTGAACCCCCTGGTGCTTGAACCCTCTGGTGCCTGAACCCCCTGGTGCTTGAACCCCCTGGTGCTTGAACCCCCTGGTGCTTGAACCCTCTGGTGCCTGAACCCCCTGGTGCTTGAACCCTCTGGTGCCTGAACCCCCTGGTGCTTGAACCCCCTGGTGCCTGAAACACCTTGTGCTTGAACCCTCTGGTGCCTGAACCCCCTGGTGCTTGAACCCTCTGGTGCCTGAACCCCCTGGTGCCTGAACCCCCTGGTGCTTGAACCCCCTGGTGCTTGAACCCTCTGGTGCTTGAACCCCCTGGTGCTTGAACCCCCTGGTGCCTGAACCCCCTGGTGCTTGAACCCTCTGGTGCCTGAACCCCCTGGTGCCTGAACCCCCTGGTGCTTGAACCCCCTGGTGCTTGAACCCCCTGGTGCTTGAACCCTCTGGTGCCTGAACCCCCTGGTGCTTGAACCCTCTGGTGCTTGAACCCTCTGGTGCCTGAACCCCCTGGTGCTTGAACCCCCTGGTGCTTGAACCCTCTGGTGCCTGAAACACCTTGTGCTTGAACCCTCTGGTGCCTGAACCCCCTGGTGCTTGACCCCTCTGGTGCCTGAACCCCTGGTGCTTGAACCCTCTGGTGCCTGAACCCCCTGGTGCTTGAACCCTCTGGTGCTTGAACCCTCTGGTGCCTGAACCCCTGGTGCTTGAACCCCCTGGTGCTTGAACCCTCTGGTGCCTGAAACACCTTGTGCTTGAACCCTCTGGTGCCTGAACCCACTGGTGCTTGACCCCTCTGGTGCCTGAACCCTCTGGTGCTTGAACCCTCTGGTGCCTGAACCCCCTGGTGCTTGAACCCCCTGGTGCTTGAACCCTCTGGTGCTTGAACCCCCTGGTGCTTGAACCCTCTGGTGCCTGAACCCCCTGGTGCTTGACCCCTCTGGTGCCTGAACCCTCTGGTGCTTGAACCCTCTGGTGCCTGAACCCTCTGGTGCTTGAACCCTCTGGTGCCTGAACCCCCTGGTGCTTGAACCCCCTGGTGCTTGAACCCTCTGGTGCCTGAACCCCCTGGTGCCTGAACCCTCTGGTGCTTGAACCCTCTGGTGCCTGAACCCCCTGGTGCTTGAACCCCCTGGTGCTTGAACCCCCTGGTGCTTGACCCCTCTGGTGCCTGAACCCTCTGGTGCTTGAACCCTCTGGTGCCTGAACCCCCTGGTGCTTGAACCCCCTGGTGCTTGAACCCTCTGGTGCCTGAACCCTCTGGTGCTTGAACCCTCTGGTGCCTGAACCCCCTGGTGCTTGAACCCCCTGGTGCCTGAACCCTCTTGTGCTTGAACCCTCTGGTGCTTGAACCCCCTGGTACCTGAACCCCCTGGTGCCTGAACCCCCTGGTACTTGAACCCCCTGGTGCCTGAACCCCCTGGTGCTTGAACCCCCTGGTGCTTGAACCCCCTGGTGCTTGAACCCTCTGGTGCCTGAACCCCCTGGTGCTTGAACCCCCTGGTGCTTGAACCCTCTGGTGCCTGAACCCCCTGGTGCTTGAACCCCCTGGTACCTGAACCCCCTGGTGCCTGAACCCCCTGGTACCTGAACCCCCTGGTGCCTGAACCCCCTGGTACTTGGACCCCCTGGTGCTTGAACCCCCTGGTGCTTGAACCCTCTGGTGCCTGAACCCCTGGTGCTTGAACCCTCTGGTGCCTGAACCCCCTGGTGCTTGAACCCTCTGGTGCCTGAACCCCTGGTGCTTGAACCCCCTGGTGCTTGAACCCCCTGGTGCTTGAACCCTCTGGTGCCTGAACCCTCTGGTGCTTGAACCCTCTGGTGCCTGAACCCCCTGGTGCTTGAACCCCCTGGTGCCTGAACCCTCTGGTGCTTGAATCCTCTGGTGCTTGAACCCCCTGGTACCTGAACCCCCTGGTGCCTGAACCCCCTGGTACTTGAACCCCCTGGTGCCTGAACCCCCTGGTGCTTGAACCCCCTGGTGCTTGAACCCTCTGGTGCCTGAACCCCCTGGTGCTTGAACCCCCTGGTGCTTGAACCCTCTGGTGCCTGAACCCCCTGGTGCTTGAACCCTCTGGTGCCTGAACCCCCTGGTGCCTGAACCCCCTGGTGCTTGAACCCCCTGGTGCTTGAACCCCCTGGTGCTTGAACCCTCTGGTGCCTGAACCCCCTGGTGCTGGAACCCTCTGGTGCTTGAACCCTCTGGTGCCTGAACCCCCTGGTGCTTGAACCCCCTGGTGCTTGAACCCTCTGGTGCCTGAAACACCTTGTGCTTGAACCCTCTGGTGCCTGAACCCCCTGGTGCTTGACCCCTCTGGTGCCTGAACCCCTGGTGCTTGAACCCTCTGGTGCCTGAACCCCCTGGTGCTTGAACCCTCTGGTGCTTGAACCCTCTGGTGCCTGAACCCCCTGGTGCTTGAACCCCCTGGTGCTTGAACCCTCTGGTGCCTGAAACACCTTGTGCTTGAACCCTCTGGTGCCTGAACCCACTGGTGCTTGACCCCTCTGGTGCCTGAACCCTCTGGTGCTTGAACCCTCTGGTGCCTGAACCCCCTGGTGCTTGAACCCCCTGGTGCTTGAACCCTCTGGTGCTTGAACCCCCTGGTGCTTGAACCCTCTGGTGCCTGAACCCCCTGGTGCTTGACCCCTCTGGTGCCTGAACCCTCTGGTGCTTGAACCCTCTGGTGCCTGAACCCTCTGGTGCTTGAACCCTCTGGTGCCTGAACCCCCTGGTGCTTGAACCCCCTGGTGCTTGAACCCTCTGGTGCCTGAACCCCCTGGTGCCTGAACCCTCTGGTGCTTGAACCCTCTGGTGCCTGAACCCCCTGGTGCTTGAACCCCCTGGTGCTTGAACCCCCTGGTGCTTGACCCCTCTGGTGCCTGAACCCTCTGGTGCTTGAACCCTCTGGTGCCTGAACCCCCTGGTGCTTGAACCCCCTGGTGCTTGAACCCTCTGGTGCCTGAACCCTCTGGTGCTTGAACCCTCTGGTGCCTGAACCCCCTGGTGCTTGAACCCCCTGGTGCCTGAACCCTCTTGTGCTTGAACCCTCTGGTGCTTGAACCCCCTGGTACCTGAACCCCCTGGTGCCTGAACCCCCTGGTACTTGAACCCCCTGGTGCCTGAACCCCCTGGTGCTTGAACCCCCTGGTGCTTGAACCCCCTGGTGCTTGAACCCTCTGGTGCCTGAACCCCCTGGGGCTTGAACCCCCTGGTGCTTGAACCCTCTGGTGCCTGAACCCCCTGGTGCTTGAACCCCCTGGTACCTGAACCCCCTGGTGCCTGAACCCCCTGGTACCTGAACCCCTGGTGCCTGAACCCCCTGGTACTTGGACCCCCTGGTGCTTGAACCCCCTGGTGCTTGAACCCTCTGGTGCCTGAACCCCTGGTGCTTGAACCCTCTGGTGCCTGAACCCCCTGGTGCTTGAACCCTCTGGTGCCTGAACCCCCTGGTGCTTGAACCCCCTGGTGCTTGAACCCCCTGGTGCTTGAACCCTCTGGTGCCTGAACCCTCTGGTGCTTGAACCCTCTGGTGCCTGAACCCCCTGGTGCTTGAACCCCCTGGTGCCTGAACCCTCTGGTGCTTGAATCCTCTGGTGCTTGAACCCCCTGGTACCTGAACCCCCTGGTGCCTGAACCCCTGGTACTTGAACCCCCTGGTGCCTGAACCCCCTGGTGCTTGAACCCCCTGGTGCTTGAACCCTCTGGTGCCTGAACCCCCTGGTGCTTGAACCCCCTGGTGCTTGAACCCTCTGGTGCCTGAACCCCCTGGTGCTTGAACCCCCTGGTACCTGAACCCCCTGGTGCCTGAACCCCCTGGTACCTGAACCCCCTGGTGCCTGAACCCCCTGGTACTTGAACCCCCTGGTGCTTGAACCCCCTGGTGCTTGAACCCTCTGGTGCCTGAACCCCTGGTGCCTGAACCCTCTGGTGCCTGAACCCCCTGGTGCCTGAACCCTCTGGTGCCTGAACCCCCTGGTGCTTGAACCCCCTGGTGCTTGAACCCCCTGGTGCTTGAACCCTCTGGTGCCTGAACCCCTGGTGCTTGAACCCTCTGGTGCCTGAACCCCCTGGTGCTTGAACCCTCTGGTGCCTGAACCCCCTGGTGCTTGAACCCCCTGGTGCCTGAACCCTCTGGTGCCTGAACCCCCTGGTGCTTGAACCCCCTGGTGCCTGAACCCCCTGGCGCCTGAACCCTCTGGTGCCTGAACCCCCTGGTGCTCTTTTGTGTAAATGACCTCCCAGACGAGGTACACAGCAAGCGACAATGATAGCGAGAGAAGAGGACTGCAGGATGCTACAAGAAGATGATGACAGTGCGAGAAGATGGCTGCCGCAGAGGAGCCTAGCCCAGCTACACCAACCCCCCCCACTACAACCTGGTTCCTGTCACAGCGTAAGCTCATTATCAAACACCCTCCACCACACCCACTAACACTTACTGGTTTTTGTCGAGGAGGATATATTTAATTGTGTCTCCGTAGCCCTTGAAGGCGTCCTCCTGAACCGTGGCGATCTTGTTGGAGTCGAGGTCGAGCTGTCGGAGGTTGTGGAGAGGCCGGAGGGCGTGGGACGGGATGTGGTCGAGGCGGTTGTGACCCAGCTCCAGCCACTCCAGGTTACCTGCAGTGAGAAACGTGCGGTGCTGCGCCTTCAGGAGAAACATGTCCAGTTGCAGCGACGTGGTATCGTGTTTCAGACAGTTTACGAGGGATATTCCTCTGGTTATTGTGTTTCAGGCTGTCATGTGTCTGGATGTCATGTGTCTGGGTGTCATGTATCTGGGTGTCATGTGTCTGGGTGTCATGTGTCTGGATGTCATGTGTCTGGGTGTCATGTGTCTGGGTGTCATGTGTCTGGATGTCATGTGTCTGGATGTCATGTGTCTGGGTGTCATGTGTCTGGGTGTCATGTGTCTGGGTATCATGTGTCTGGGTGTCATGTGTCTGGGTGTCATGTGTCTGGCTGTCATGTGTCTGGATGTCATGTGTCTGGATGTCATGTGTCTGGGTGTCATGTGTCTGGGTGTCATGTGTCTGGATGTCATGTGTCTGGGTGTCATGTGTCTGGATGTCATGTGTCTGGGTGTCATGTGTCTGGGTGTCATGTGTCTGGATGTCATGTGTCTGGATGTCATGTGTCTGGGTGTCATGTGTCTGGATGTCATGTGTCTGGATGTCATGTGTCTGGATGTCATGTGTCTGGGTGTCATGTGTCTGGATGTCATGTGTCTGGATGTCATGTGTCTGGATGTCATGTGTCTGGCTGTCATGTGTCTGGATGTCATGTGTCTGGATGTCATGTGTCTGGATGTCATGTGTCTGGATGTCATGTGTCTGGATGTCATGTGTCTGGCTGTCATGTGTCTGGGTGTCATGTGTCTGGGTGTCATGTGTCTGGATGTCATGTGTCTGGCTGTCATGTGTCTGGATGTCATGTGTCTGGATGTCATCCCAGTAAACACAAAACGTTTGTGCACGTTTTCAAATGGTGCCACAAAGGTAACTTTGTAACTTTTGACATAAATACGTATTTGTGACGTCCTTAAAACCATTAGAGATAAATAAAAACATATTCTTGAGACACAGTTTTTTTAAGATTTATGTAAAAATTTAAAAATAATATTGAATGCTATGGAATTATAATGTTTTTATGCTTTATATTTAAGAATAAACAATTTTCAGTCAACATTTTGTTTTTTTTTTGTTTAATTTATGTAAACTTATTCAATTTACGTTCTTATAACATAAATATAACATTTATATGACGTCAATATAACGTTATTTACACATCATTACGTTATTATGATGTTATATTAACGTATAATTCCTATATGAAAACCAGAATATTATATTGAACTTTATGTTTTAAACCTTGTGAAGTTATCATAAAACTTGGAATAAGACGGTAAGCATGTTTTACTTATGAAAATATAAAAACAAATCAACAAAAACATTTTAACATAAAAAACATAAATTAACTGCATGCATGGGAGTTAATTGGAACTCTGTAATATTGCATACATGAACCTTGAGGTACAAACACAGAGTATTTACTCATGCAGTTCTTTCCTAAATCTAATTTTTTCACATTTTTACACTTTGTTTCGAGTTCTGTCTTGTGTTGTTACTTTTAATACCCTATTAATGTCCCCTTTGTTACGTCCATTCATCCTATTGTACACCTCTACCATATGTCACTCTTAATTCTTTGCCTTTCTAGAGAATGTAATTTAAACTTTGACAATCTTTTTTTCAAATGACAGGTTTCTAATTTAGCATTTTCGCCCACTAATGATGAAGTATGGAGTCAAAATTTTAACTGCTAAATGTCCACTAATGACGATGTATGGCATCAAAATTTAAAATATTTGCTAAAATTCAGGTTTTTATCCAATTTTTTTGGGAGACTGATTTTAAACTGCGTGCCAACGTCTTCCCGCTTTGAACTATTGAAGAACAAAGGTTACCATTTATATATGGATAACTATTATAAGTCAGTTTGAATGAGAGAATTGCTGCTTGAAGATAGGCTATACACCTCTGGTACTATCAGATTGCATTGTGGTGGACCTAAAACCCTTCAGACCCAAGCAAAGGGTAAAATGCCAGTAGATACAATTGCGAACACATTGATACCAACATGAAAGACCTATGACGAGAACTGAGGTAACCAAAGTGATAAGAGTGTACACATTATATTGCTTTTGAGCACTCCTGGGTAACTTTCTCTCACTTTCTCTGTTTTGTGTGGGTGTTACGCCATGCTTTTGGAGTTTATATGCATTTAAACCTGTAGAGATATCTATTTCGAACACATTGACACCAAATTGAAAAACCTAGGATGAGAAATGAGGTGACAAAGTTGTAAAGAGTATTCACTTTCAGTATTACCATGCTCTCTAATGGAAGGCCAGGCACTGCATGGCACTCTCTTCGTGGTAACGTGATAACACTGATGAGTACCTTTTAACTACTTCCTTTGTAACTAGGCCAATCCTAAATTTCTTTTCATATTCATGCTTTTCGTTGATTGATTTGAATATGCCACTTGTGAGCCACGAATTGTTTATTTTTTGTCAGTGACTTGTTTGGTAAGGAGGGGACAGTGAGTGTTGTAGAGGCTTAGAGTTTTGGAGAGAAAGAGGTTAGTTGATGAGTTTATATCGTGTGTATTATTGAATTCAGATTCCCAGTTAATATTGTGAAGTGCATTTGAGAGATTGCCTAAAGCTGATTCACTGTGTAGCCTGAATGAGAGTTTCTTGCTTTCTGGCGGTGTTGTGTCCATGTTTGCTACGAGGAAGGTAGGATAGTAGTCAATTGTTTTGTCATAGATTATACTAGATGTAAGTGGAGCTGTTATATTAGTCCATAAGTGATCCAAGATAGTAGCAGATGTTTGAGTGACTCGGGTGGGCTTGGTGATTGTGGGGATTAGCATACAGGAGTACATGCTGCTAGAAAATAGTCAACTAGAGGATTATTTTGTAAACCCAGGTCAATATCGAAATCACCTCCTAGAATTATGTGATTTTTGTTGAGATTGTTATTTATGATAAGATCCCTTACGTTATCTGAGAATGAAGCTGTTGGTATTGGGAAATCTGTAGATGGCACCGATAGTCAAGGAGGATTTAAGGGATTTACTGGAGAACTTGGTAAAGGTATATTCACAATAGTCGTTTCTATCACTAATGACACTATTGCAGATGAAGGTATCTTTGTAATATATTGCTGTGCCACCTCCGTTTTTATTAGGCCTGCAGTTGTGATTGGCTTTATAATCAGCTAAGTTGTAGCATACAACATAGCATATATATTTATATGTAGTATATATATATATATATATATATATATATATATATATATATATATATATATATATATATATATATATATATATATATATATATATATATATGCGGAAAATCCACAGAGAAATATGAAAGGAGGTGAACGTTTCGGCTTTGTTAAAGCCTTTGTCAACACCAGACTGACAAAGTCTTGGTCAGTCTGGTGTTGACAAAGGCTTTAACAAAGCCGAAACGTTCACCTCCTTCCATATTTCTCTGTGGATTTTCCGCATAAAATGATCAGTGTTTTGTGATCGTCAATTGCATATATATATATATATATATATATATATATATATATATATATATATATATATATATATATATATATATATATATATATATATATATAATCAAAATTCTTCAGTGTACTACATTTTTGTTGTTGATTTTAACCAGTGTATGTGGGCCTGATTGTGCAACCACGGTTCGAAGAATAATGAAGAAGATAGGAACAAACGGCCTGTGGTCACTGTACATTCTGAAAGGACAAAAGAAGAAATTGGCATTTCTACAAAAACAAGAACTATATAATGTCAGTTTTAGTAACCAAAAAAAAATTAACCAAACAATTAAAAAAAATAATATTTAAAAATCACTTAAAAATTAAAATTTGAAGTTAAAAAATTTTTAACAAAAAAAAAAAACTAAATATTTTTCATATTTGGAACCTTTCCTTCAATATTTTCCCAAGTATAAATGATTATATTTCCATCACTTGCTCTTCAGATTGCTTCATTTAACCACCGTGCTGCGCCGTGTTTATTGTGAAATTCCCCGGGTGCGCATGAAATAAAGTGTTCCTAAGAAATTCTTTTTTCTTCGTAAAATGATAAATTCTCTTCCCTGAACATGTCTATGGAAAAATAAATACCAAATTCCACTTTGGCTATGAGGACGTGGACAAGGTGGCTGTGACGTCATCAGGAGCTGGTCGCCTGTGCATGAATCGGCCAGACACGGTATCAAGAAGAATTATGGGCCAATAGGCCCTTTGCAGTTACTTCCATTCTTCCCTCTCGTTTATCCAATATATATATATATATATATATATATATATATATATATATATATATATATATATATATATATATATATATATATATAGTTTGTGTGTAATTTATATAAACAAATAATTACATATTAATTTATATGTTAATATCTTTTCAGGGAAAACTTGCAATTGACGAAACTACTCTTCAAATTCAAGATGGGCATGATGAGGCAGAGGATGTCTACTAAGAAAATAAATTATCAATGTTTCTTTATCCTCACACTCTTTTGTAATATGGTCTTCTCTGGTCTCCTCTTTATTTTCTCTCCTCTCACACAAATGTCCTTTTTCTCATTCTTCTGTTACGTTTCTCTCCTATTTGTGGGAACCGACCTGTGAGATTTATATTTATTTAATTTATATGAATTTATATTTACGTTAATTTATATACTTCGATAGCAATTTGTATAATGATAAGTGGACTGTATTTCTGCAATAATCTCTTAATCTCACAAATCGATCCTCTACACATTAGGGGGGGTTTATTAATTGAATATATATGCAGCCAATCAAACTACAGAATTAACTACATACATTGAAGAGGTTCCTTATCTTATAGTACAGCAGGTTAGTCCACCAGGTATAACTAGGGTGTAGACACCAAATTATCCTCTTTGAGGTAGCTTCCATATCACCCAGTAACTGGTGCACAAATCTTGCTTCCTCGTCTTGACCTGTCAAAAGTGCGCTAGCTGTGAAGCCAGAATCCTATATATGACAAGCTATATCAGAGAAAACACTATACAGTACATGGAACAATAAAGACCTGGCTTAATTACCTTTAGTATGAGGCGATTTCGCGTTCTAACCGGCTAACCCTACCCAATGACATTAATGGCCACTAATGATAGATAATGGGTTTCGGAAAGAACACTTAACTTGAATTTGTAGACAGCGTGTTGAAAATGGTACACCTTTGGTTTCCATAACACTACGTCCAAGTAAAATTAACAGGAGCCGAATTTGCTCCCGTGTGAGCCTCTGGTCTAGTATCAACAATGGCTGCCCTCCTTCCTCACTCTGACGCCTGGCTTACATTGTCCACATGTCAGAAAGTGATAGAAGGGTCACATTTACTCTACTTTAATATTGATAATTAAGTTAATTTATATAAGATGTTTTTATGATGGTAAAGTCCAAAGACTAATGTATTTAAGAATAATTCCCACCATAATAGGTGGTGAATTATAATAGTATGTGGTGATGATATCCCGTTTTCTTTAGATGGTAATTCCACTACAAGTTACGTTTTCTATGGGTAACTTGTTTATACAATACAGCTATTATCTGTCTGTATGATATTATTATTAAATGGTGTCGGATTTTCCGACACTATTTTTCTTGTCTCTTTTTATATCCCTCCTTTCCTCCTCTCTTCTAACACCTCTTCTTTACTGTCTCTTCTAGCTTCTCTCTTCCTTTACTTTTTACATTTGTGGTATTCAGTTACTTCATTTTTATCTTGTATCTTTTTTTTCTCTTGTTTTTCTCTTCCCCTTCTGTTCAATCTTCTCTCATTTCTCTCTGCCCTCTCTGTTGTTTCTGTTCTGTCTTCTCTCCCCTGCCTTGAATTTGTTCTGTCTCCTCTCTCTTTTTGTTATGTGTGTGTGTCTGTCTGTCTCTCTCTGTCTGTGTGTCTGGCTCTTTATCTGTCTGTTTGTCTGTTTATCTCTCTCTGTCTCTCTTTCTGTCTCTTTCTCTCTCTCTCTCTGTCTCTGTCTCTCTCTCTCTGTCCCTTTCTGTCTCTCTTTCTGTCTCTCTTTGTCTCTCTCTCTCTCTCTCTCTCTCTCTCTCTCTCTCTCTCTCTCTCTCTCTCTCTCTCTCTCTCTCTCTCTCTCTCTCTCTCTCTCTCTCTCTCTCTCTCTCTCTCTCTCTCTGTCTCTCTCTCTCTCTCTCTCTCTCTCTCTCTCTCTCTCTCTCTCTCTCTCTCTCTCTCTCTCTCTCTCTCTTCTGTCTCTCTTTCTGTCTCTCTTTGTCTCTCTCTCTCTCTCTCTCTCTCTCTCTCTCTCTCTCTCTCTCTCTTTCTTTCTTTCTAATATTTCATTTGATTTAAATTTAACTTGGAGATTTTTACTTAATCTAAGTTATATCTCATGGTGTTAAGATCAATATTATACTTGACTGTGTTTTCATTCACTTGCAGGTTTTTATTTATAGTTAAATTAGTCCTATACTTTAAGATTTTACTTTACAGTTTTCATAAATGATTTATTGATTTTTATTTTTAGTCATAGAAAAACTTGTGTTATGTATACTTGGGAAATTTTACTTATTTTTTTTAAGTAACAATAACTGCTTGTAATCTCAGACTGATCTCAGCATGACATGAATCACAGCCTGCTTGATCAGGAATTCTTTGAAAGAGCTTAATTGTCAAGTTCTCTCTTGAATAATAATAATAATAATAATATATAATATATATATATATATATATATATATATATATATATATGCATATATATATATATATAACCGAATAAGATTTTCTAATTCTAACACGAATTTTCTCGATCTTTCTTAAGTTTCTTTTCACTGTTGATGGTAATTCAAAGATCAATTCTCCAAAATTCATTTTTATTTCTAGTCTGACGCGACACTTGAGCGCGTTTCGTAAAACTTATTACATTTTCAAAGACTTTAGTTTACACAAACACACACAACTTTAACTGAATAGAGCTTAAACATCTTTCGAGTTTTTATACCTACATTTGGGTGAAGTGACATGTTACAATAGTTTTGGATGAGGTGAAAATAAACTTTTAACACAAGACAGAACACGAAACAATGAAATACAAACAGGTATTAAAAGTAGGTAACTGCAGAAGGCCTATTTTTATTGGCCCATATTTCTTGATGCTTCTATATTGGAGCGAAGTCTTGAAGTGGGTAGAATACAGTTGTGCAATATTTGGCTGTTGATTGCTGGTGTTGACTTCTTGATGTGTTGTGCCTCGCAGACGTCGAGCCGCCTGCTATCGCTGTATCTATCGATGATTTCTGTGTTGTTTGCTAAGGTTTCTCTGGTGATGGTTTGGTTGTGGGAAGAGGCTATATGTTCCTTAATGGAGCCCTGTTGTTTATGCATCGTTAAACGCCTGGAAAGAGATGTTGTCTTGCCTATATACTGAGTTTTTTGAGGCTTACAATCCCCAAGAGGGCATTTGAAGGCATAGACGACGTTGGTCTCTTTTAAAACGTTCTGCTTTGTGTCTGGAGAGTTTCTCATGAGTAGGCTGGCCGTTTTTTTGGTTTTATAGTAAATTGTCAGTTGTATCTTCTGATTTTTGTCTGTAGGGATAACGTTTCTACTGACAATATCTTTCAGGACCCTTTCCTCCGTTTTATGGGCTGTGGAAAAGAAGTTCCTGTAAAATAGTCTAATAGGGGGTATAGGTGTTGTGTTAGTTGTCTCTTCAGAGGTTGCATGGCGTTTCACTTTCCTTCTTATGATGTCTTCCACGAAACCATTGGAGAAGCCGTTGTTGACTAGGACCTGCCTTACCCTACAGAGTTCTTCGTCGACTTGCTTCCATTCTGAGCTGTGGCTGAGGGCACGGTCGACATAAGCGTTAACAACACTCCTCTTGTACCTGTCCGGGCAGTCACTGTTGGCATTCAGGCACATTCCTATGTTTGTTTCCTTAGTGTAGACTGCAGTGTGGAAAACTCCGCTCCTTTCCATGACTGTTACATCTAGAAAGGGCAGCTTCCCATCCTTCTCCATCTCGTAAGTGAAACGCAACACAGAATTCTGCTCAAATGCCTCCTTCAGCTCCTGCAGATGTCTGACATCAGGTACCTGTGTAAAAATGTCGTCAACATACCTGCAGTATATGGCCGGTTTCAAGTTCATGTCGACTAAGACTTTTTGCTCGATGGTACCCATGTAGAAGTTTGCAAACAGGACACCTAGGGGAGAACCCATGGCGACCCCATCTACTTGCTTATACATGTGTCCATCCGGGCTCAAGAAGGGTGCCTCTTTAGTACAAGCTTGGAGTAGTTTCCTTAGACTGTTATAGGCAAGACAACATCTCTTTCCAGGCGTTTAACGATGCATAAACAACAGGGCTCCATTAAGGAACATATAGCCTCTTCCCACAACCAAACCATCACCAGAGAAATCTTAGCAAACAACACAGAAATCATCGATAGATACAGCGATAGCAGGCGGCTCGACGTCTGCGAGGCACTACACATCAAGAAGTCAACACCAGCAATCAACAGCCAATTAATGCACAACTATATTCTACCCACTTCAAGACTCCGCTCCAATACAGAAGCATCAAGAAATATGGGCCAATAAAAATAGGCCTTCTGCAGTTACCTACTTTTAATACCCGTTTGTATTTCATTGTTTCGTGTTCTGTCTTGTGTTAAAAGTTTATTTTCACCTCATCCAAAACTATTGTAACATGTCACTTCACCCAAATGTAGGTATAAAAACTCGAAAGATGTTTAAGCTCTATTCAGTTAAAGTTGTGTGTGTTTGTGTAAACTAAAGTCTTTGAAAATGTAATAAGTTTTACGAAACGCGCTCAAGTGTCGCGTCAGACTAGAAATAAAAATGAATTTTGGAGAATTGATCTTTGAATTACCATCAACAGTGAAAAGAAACGTAAGAAAGATCGAGAAAATTCGTGTTAGAATTATTAATCTTACTTTTTCGGTCATATTTAATAATATATGTCTACAGGAAAGACTGCTACCAAAATATACTAATATATATATATATATATATATATATATATATATATATATATATATATATATATATATATATATATGATTTTTACTTCGGTAGATAGAGATAATTGGTGCTACGTACATTTGTGTTCACATTGCACATATAGACTTCTATATTCTATTATAGATATACATTCTACATAGTTTGAGCTATTACACATATTTTGAATTACTGAATCTTAATTAAATATAATATTTTAATTCTCTTTTTGTACCCTATTTATTTGTAATTGACATATAGGATGTCTGTCCCTTTCTATTTCAGATATGAATTAAAAAAATTAAGATTGTACCCTAATTTATATGCCAATAAATTGGCAACAATAGGGCATTAAAAACGTTAGCTCGAAACGTTCTAATGTAGGTAATTAAAAGATTATAAAAAGGTTTTTTAAAAGTTTCCAATTCACGTTCTAAGATCGTTTTTACAAATTCTCAAAAAACGTTTTTTAAAAGTAATTACAAACGTGCTGAAAACAATGAAATGTCGTTTTTAGAACGATTTAAAAACGTGAAAATGTTTGCTGGGATGTGTTTGACTGTCATGTATGGAAGTGATTGTGGAGGCCAAACCAAAAGCATCTTCAAGGGAAAATGCATTAGAAATATGCTTTATCAGGCGCTGGACAGGAGGGACCGACACATCCTATCGATGAGCACGTGCTCCCGCACACACGCACAAGGGTTCACATACCACCCCTCACATGCACACCCACATGGGAACACATACACCTCCCCTACACACCCACACTGGAGCACATACACCACCCCACACGCACACGAACGCACATACACCCCCCTACCCCCCCCCCACACACACGGGAGCACATACGCCACCCCACACATGGGACCACAGTAGTGAAACCAACTCACTTCTGTTGTCTTGAAGGCTTCCAGTGTCTGAGGCGCGGGAAACATCGATGACGTCATGAAGGTAAACAAACCAACTCCGAGGAGTGTATTTACTGTCAGCTGAGAGCATTATTTCTCCTCTCCCATTCCCATTCTCTATCCTCCTCCCCTTTCTCACTCTCCAGTCACACTTCCCCCCTCTCAGTCCAACCACTTGGGCTGGATGGTAGAGCGACAGTCTCGCTTCATGCAGGTCGACGTTCAATCCCCGACCGTCCAAGTGGTTGGGGGCCATTCCTTCCCCCCGTGAAATCCCAAATCCTTATCCTGACCCCTTCCAAGTGCTATATAATCATATAGTTGTTGTTCTTTTAGATTCAGCTACTCGGAACAACTAATTCCAAGTAGCATGAGCTAATGTGAGGGAAGGAATGGCGCCCAACCACATGGTGGACGGTTGGGGATTGAAACGTCGACCTGCATAAAGCTCGCGAGACAGTCGCTCTACCGTCCAGCCCAAGTAGTTGTATGGAGAAGGGGGAAGTGTCACTGGAGAGTGATAAAGCAGAGGTGGGATTTGACGCAAGGTGGCAATGTGGCTTTGATGCAAAGTGGCCACGTGGCTTTGATGCAAGGTGGCCATGTGGCTTTGACGCAAGGTGGCCATGTGGCTTTGACGCAAGGTGGTCACGTGGCTTTGACGCAAGGTGGCTATATATCTTTGACGCAAGGTGGCCACGTGGCTTTGATGCAAGGTGGTCACGTGGCTTTGACGCAAGGTAGCCACGTGGCTTTGATGCAAGGTGGTCACGTGGCTTTGACGCAAGGTGGCTATATATCTTTGACGCAAGGTGGCCACGTGGCTTTGACGCAAGGTGGCCACATGCCTTTGACGCAAGGTGGCCACGTGGCTTTAACGCAAGGTGGCCATATAGCTTTGACGCAAGGTGGCCATGTGTCTTTGATGCAAGGTGGCAATGTGCCTTTGACGCAAGGTGCCAGTGTGCCTTTGACGCAAGGTGGCAATGTGCCTTTGACGCAAGGTGCCAGTGTGCCTTTGACGCAAGGTGCCAGTGTGCCTTTGACGCAAGGTGGCCACGTGCCTTTGACGCAAGGTGGCCACGCACCTTTGACGCAAGGTGGCCACGTGCCTTTGACGTAAGGTGGCCACACACCTTTGACGCAAGGTGGCCACGTGCCTTTGATGCAAGGTGGCCACGTGCCTTTGACACAAGGTGGCCACGTGCCTTTGACGCAAGGTGGCCACGTGCCTTTGACGCAAGGTGGCCACGTGCCTTTGACACAAGGTGGCCACGTGCATTTGACGCAAGGTGGCCACGTGCCTTTGACACAAGGTGGCCACGTGCCTTTGACGCAAGGTGGCCACGTGCTTTTGACGCAAGGTGGCCACGTGCCTTTGATGCAAGGTGGCCACGTGCCTTTGACACAAGGTGGCCACGTGCCTTTGATGCAAGGTGGCCACGTGCCTTTGATGCAAGGTGGCCACGTGCCTTTGACGCAAGGTGGCCACGTGCCTTTGACACAAGGTGGCCACGTGCCTTTGACGCAAGGTGGCCACGTGCCTTTGACACAAGGTGGCCACGTGCCTTTGACACAAGGTGGCCACGTGCTTTTGACGCAAGGTGGCCACGTTCCTTTGACGCAAGGTGGCAATGTGCCTTTGACGCAAGGTGGCCAGGTGGCTTTGATGCAAGGTGGCCAAGAAGCCAGATGCTAGGTAGCCATTGAACCAGACGTAAGATGGCCAGGAAGCCGGACATAAGGTGGCCAGGAAGCCAGAGTTAAGGCGGCCAGGAAGCCAGACATAAGGAGGCCAGGAAGCCAGACATAGGGTGGCCAGGAAGCCAGAGTTAAGGCGGCCAGGAAGCCAGAGTTAAGGCGGCCAGGAAGCCAGATATAAGGTGGCCAGGAAGCCAGACATAGGGTGGCCAGGAAGCCAGAGTTAAGGTGGCCAGGAAGCCAGACATAAGGTGGCCAGGAAGCCAGACATAAGGTGGCCAGGAAGCCAGACATAGGGTGGCCAGGAAGCCAGAGTTAAGGCGGCCAGGAAGCCAGACATAAGGTGGCCAGGAAGCCAGAGTTAAGGCGGCCAGGAAGCCAGACATAAGGTGACCAGGAAGCCAGACATAAGGTGGCAAGGAAGCCAGAGTTAAGGTGGCCAGGAAGCCAGAGTTAAGGCGGCCAGGAAGCCAGACATAAGGTGGCCAGGAAGCCAGACATAGGGTGGCCAGGAAGCCAGACATAAGGTGGCCAGGAAGCCAGAGTTAAGGTGGCCAGGAAGCCAGAGTTAAGGCGGCCAGGAAGCCAGACATAAGGTGGCCAGGAAGCCAGACATAGGGTGGCCAGGAAGCCAGAGTTAAGGCGGCCAGGAAGCCAGAGTTAAGGCGGCCAGGAAGCCAGACATAAGGTGGCCAGGAAGCCAGACATAGGGTGGCCAGGAAGCCAGAGTTAAGGTGGCCAGGAAGCCAGACATAAGGTGGCCAGGAAGCCAGACATAAGGTGGCCAGGAAGCCAGACATAGGGTGGCCAGGAAGCCAGAGTTAAGGCGGCCAGGAAGCCAGACATAAGGTGGCCAGGAAGCCAGAGTTAAGGCGGCCAGGAAGCCAGACATAAGGTGGCCAGGAAGCCAGACATAAGGTGGCCAGGAAGCCAGAGTTAAGGTGGCCAGGAAGCCAGAGTTAAGGCGGCCAGGAAGCCAGACATAAGGTGGCCAGGAAGCCAGAGTTAAGGCGGCCAGGAAGCCAGACATAAGGTGGCCAGGAAGCCAGAGTTAAGGCGGCCAGGAAGCCAGAGTTAAGGCGGCCAGGAAGCCAGACATAAGGTGGCCAGGAAGCCAGACATAGGGCGGCCAGGAAGCCAGAGTTAAGGCGGCCAGGAAGCCAGACATAAGGTGGCCAGGAAGCCAGAGTTAAGGCGGCCAGGAAGCCAGACATAAGGTGGCCAGGAAGCCAGACATAAGGTGGCCAGGAAGCCAGACATAAGGTGGTCAGGAAGCCAGAGTTAAGGTGGCCAGGAAGTCAGAGTTAAGGCGGCCAGGAAGCCAGAGTTAAGGCGGCCAGGAAGCCAGACATAAGGTGGTCAGGAAGCCAGAGTTAAGGCGGCCAGGAAGCCAGACATAAGGTGGCCAGGAAGCCAGACATAGGGTGGCCAGGAAGCCAGAGTTAAGGCGGCCAGGAAGCCAGACATAAGGTGGCCAAGAAGCCAGACATAAGGTGGCCAGGAAGCCAGAGTTAAGGCGGCCAGGAAGCCAGAGTTAAGGCGGCCAGGAAGCCAGACATAAGGTGGCCAGGAAGCCAGAGTTAAGGTGGCCAGGAAGCCAGACATAAGGTGGCCAGGAAGCCAGAGTTAAGGTGGCCAGGAAGCCAGAGTTAAGGCGGCCAGGAAGCCAGACATAGGGTGGCCAGGAAGCCAGAGTTAAGGTGGCCAGGAAGCGAGACATAAGGTGGCCAAGAAGCCAGACATAAGGTGGCCAGGAAGCCAGACATAAGGCGGCCAGGAAGCCAGAGTTAAGGTGGCCAGGAAGCCAGACATAAGGTGGCCAGGAAGCCAGAGTTAAGGCGGCCAGGAAGCCAGAGTTAAGGTGGCCAGGAAGCCAGAGTTAAGGTGGCCAGGAAGCCAGAGTTAAGGCGGCCAGGAAGCCAGACATAAGGTGGCCAGGAAGCCAGACATAAGGTGGCCAGGAAGCCAGACATAAGGTGGCCAGGAAGCCAGACATAAGGTGGCCAGGAAGCCAGACATAAGGTGGCCAGGAAGCCAGAGTTAAGGTGGCCAGGAAGCCAGAGTTAAGGCGGCCAGGAAGCCAGAGTTAAGGCGGTCAGGAAGCCAGACATAAGGTGGTCAGGAAGCCAGAGTTAAGGCGGCCAGGAAGCCAGAGTTAAGGCGGCCAGGAAGCCAGACATAAGGTGGTCAGGAAGCCAGAGGTAAGGCGGCCAGGAAGCCAGACATAAGGTGGCCAGGAAGCCAGACATAAGGTGGCCAGGAAGCCAGACATAGGGTGGCCAGGAAGCCAGAGTTAAGGCGGCCAGGAAGCCAGACATAAGGTGGCCAGGAAGCCAAACATAAGGTGGCCAGGAAGCCAGACATAAGGTGGCCAGGAAGCCAGACAAAAGGTGGCCAGGAAGCCAGATATAAGGTGGCCAGTAAGGTGGCCAGGAAGCCAGAGTTAAGGTGGCCAGGAAGCCAGACATAAGGCGGCCAGGAAGCCAGAGTTAAGGTGGCCAGGAAGCCAGAGTTAAGGTGGCCAGGAAGCCAGACATAAGGCGGCCAGGAAGCCAGACATAAGGTGGCCAGGAAGACAGAGTTAAGGCGGCCAGGAAGCCAGACATAAGGTGGCCAGGAAGCCATACATAGGGTGGCCAGGAAGCCAGACATAGGGTGGCCAGGAAGCCAGACATAAGGTGGCCAGGAAGCCAGACATAAGGTGGCCAGGAAGCCAGACATAAGGTGGCCAGGAAGCCAGAGTTAAGGCGGCCAGGAAGCCAGACATAGGGTGGCCAGGAAGCCAGAGTTAAGGTGGCCAGGAAGCCAGACATAAGGTGGCCAGGAAGCCAGAGTTAAGGCGGCCAGGAAGCCAGACATAAGGTGGCCAGGAAGCCAGACATAGGGTGGCCAGGAAGCCAGACATAGGGTGGCCAGGAAGCCAGACATAAGGTGGCCAGGAAGCCAGAGTTAAGGCGGCCAGGAAGCCAGACATAAGGTGGCCAGGAAGCCAGAGTTAAGGCGGCCAGGAAGCCAGACATAAGGTGGCCAGGAAGCCAGACATAGGGTGGCCAGGAAGCCAGACATAGGGTGGCCAGGAAGCCAGACATAAGGTGGCCAGGAAGCCAGAGTTAAGGCGGCCAGGAAGCCAGACATAAGGTGGCCAGGAAGCCAGAGTTAAGGTGGCCAGGAAGCCAGAGTTAAGGTGGCCAGGAAGCCAGACATAGGGTGGCCAGGAAGCCAGACATAAGGTGGCCAGGAAGCCAGACATAAGGTGGCCAGGAAGCCAGACATAGGGTGGCCAGGAAGCCAGACATAGGGTGGCCAGGAAGCCAGACATAAGGTGGCCAGGAAGCCAGACATAAGGTGGCCAGGAAGCCAGACATAAGGTGGCCAGGAAGCCAGAGTTAAGGCGGCCAGGAAGCCAGACATAAGGTGGCCAGGAAGCCAGACATAGGGTGGCCAGGAAGCCAGACATAGGGTGGCCGGAAGCCAGACATAAGGTGTTAAGGCGGCAGGAAGCCAGACATAAGGTGGCCAGGAAGCCAGAGTTAAGGCGGCCAGGAAGCCAGACATAAGGTGGCCAGGAAGCCAGAGTTAAGGCGGCCAGGAAGCCAGACATAAGGTGGCCAGGAAGCCAGAGTTAAGGCGGCCAGGAAGCCAGATATAAGGTGGCCAGGAAGCCAGAGTTAAGGCGGCCAGGAAGCCGGATACTTACTCTCGAGGCCAGCGAAGGCGCGGTCGCTGATGTTGACAATGTGGTTGTGCTCGATGTTGAGGGAGTTGAGGACGGTGAGGTCGCTGAAGACGTTCTCCTGGATGGTGGTGATCAGGTTGTGCTCCAGCTTCAACATGTCCAGCTTGTGCAGACCTGCAACACATGCAACAGGCTACGTCACTCCCGTCCCTCCGCACCCACAAAGGGACCCACATCACAATTGTCCCTCACTCTGGCAGATTTAAACTGACGTAACATGATATTCACTAATCCAGTGCACAATAAATTAACAAATACATTATTCACTAATCCAGTGCACAACACTCACGGGGAAATTCAAATTGAAGACGAAAATGAAAAAAATTCTTAACACAAACCTAAAGTTATGCAGCGCTTTGTTTTTAAGTCATTGCAACTTATCTGATATTGGAGCCACAGACTGTGACCAACGTCAACAGACGTATTACAGCAGCGCCACACAAAGAACTATGTACAGACGTAATAGCATATGCAATACACCAGTCTTATCCCTTAGGCTGCGACAAACGTCAAATAACGTGTTAGTATTATTATGGGTCACATAATGACTAATGTCACGAAATGGCAATTGATTTTTGATTACAAATTGACCAAACTAGCAAAGAGCCGAGATATATAAGATAATATATCCTCAACTAGCAAAGAGCCGAGATATATAAGATAATATATCCTCAACTAGCAAAGAGCCGAGATATATAAGATAATATATCCTCAACTAGTAAAGAGCCGAGATATATAAGATAATATATCCTCAACTAGTAAAGAGCCGAGATATATAAGATAATATATCCTCAACTAGCAAAGAGCCGAGATATATAAGATAATATATCCTCAACTAGTAAAGAGCCGAGATATATAAGATAATATATCCTCAACTAGCAAAGAGCCGAGATATATAAGATAATATATCCTCAACTAGCAAAGAGCCGAGATATATAAGATAATATATCCTCAACTAGTAAAGAGCCGAGATATATAAGATAATATATCCTCAACTAGCAAAGAGCCGAGATATATAAGATAATATATCCTCAACTAGTAAAGAGCCGAGATATATAAGATAATATATCCTCAACTAGTAAAGAGCCGAGATATATAAGATAATATATCCTCAACTAGCAAAGAGCCGAGATATATAAGATAATATATCCTCAAAGATGAAACAATCTTATTATTCAAGAATTAGAAGAATTTTGTCCCTTGTGGCCTCATCACAGTCAAGGAAATAGGCTATAAATTTTGTTTAGGTAACTCACGTGACATTTGTTCTATATCATCATAAAATAAAATGGAAATATTAAATATAAACATAAATAATGATTCAAAGTATTGTGGTAGATGATGACATGGTGTACAAGTACTGTGGTAGAGGCTGTGGTGGTGTACAAGTACTGTGGTAGATGATGTGGTGGTGTACAAGTACTGTGGTAGATGATGACATGGTGTACAAGTACTGTGGTAGAGGATGTGGTGGTGTACAAGTACTGTGGTAGATGATGACATGGTGTACAAGTACTGTGGTAGATGATGACATGGTGTACAAGTACTGTGGTAGAGGCTGTGGTGGTGTACAAGTACTGTGGTAGAGACTGTGGTGGTGTACAAGTACTGTGGTAGAGACTGTGGTGGTGTACAAGTACTGTGGTAGAGGCTGTGGTGGTGTACAAGTACAGTGGTAGAGGCTGTGGTGGTGTACAAGTACTGTGGTAGATGATGTGGTGGTGTACAAGTACTGTGGTAGATGATGACATGGTGTACAAGTACTGTGGTAGATGATGACATGGTGTACAAGTACTGTGGTAGAGACTGTGGTGGTGTACAAGTACTGTGGTAGAGGCTGTGGTGGTGTACAAGTACTGTGGTAGAGGCTGTGGTGGTGTACAAGTACTGTGGTAGAGACTGTGGTGGTGTACAAGTACTGTGGTAGATGATGTAGTGGTGCACAAGTACTGTGGTAGAGGCTGTGGTGGTGTACAAGTACTGTGGTAGAGGCTGTGGTGGAGCCCGAGTGACCCACCCTGGAAGGCGCCGTCTGGGATGTGACTGATGCGGTTCTCGTGTAGGTCGAGCACCTCGAGGTTGACCAGCGGGTGGAAGGTGTCGGTGGGGATGTATTCCAACATGTTCTTGCCCAGGTTGAGTCGCAGCAGCTTCCTGCGGGAGGACCACAAGCCACAGTCACCCCGAACACCAGCACCAGAGACACACAGGAGATCCAGCAGGAAGAGGGACGGGCGGGGGAAAGAGAGAAGAAAGGAGCAGTAGCAACAGCATGAACAGGAAGAAAAGGAGAGAACAGAAGGGGAAACAGGATCCTCCTCTTAGGTCCTTTGGTGGAGGGAGATGTATGGGAGGCTGCAGCGGTTATTATACTCTCTCTCTCTCTCTCTCTCTCTCTCTCTCTCTCTCTCTCTCTCTCTCTCTCTCTCTCTCTCTCTCTCTCTCTATCCTACTTTATTATTCATCCCTATTAATCCCTTTAGATATTCTTTCATTTCTCCTGTCCGGGAATGGAACCCAGGACTAATCCGTATGTGCTAATTGCTCCCCATACCAAAAATACTTTTCTACGAGTGTTTCAACATGACTTGATTCGCATCTTTTCTTCCCTGAACGAGGACCCATATATATACCTGCCGATGCCCTTGAAGGCGTTATCGTCAATGTGTTGAATTTTGTTCTCGTAGAGGGAGAGTCGCTCGAGGACGTTGAGGCCGAAGAAAGCGCTCTCGTTCAGCCTCTTGATCTGGTTGTAGTTGAGGTTGAGAAATGTGAGCATCTTCAGCGAGGCCAGAGCCGCGGTGGGGACCTGCGGAGAGACAGCAATGTTGAGGAACAGCAGTAATTCCAGAGAGTTGAAGGCACTCGTTGGTGCCTGTGATGAGGGGCAAGGGGAGAGTTGGGAGGGTGAGGAATACTTAATCCTTCAGCGAGGGCAAAAGCCGCCGATGAATATTATAGTAAGATACTATAGAAGCTTTACCCTCGATGTACCATTCTCAGAAAATACGAATCAAATTTACCATCATAGGAGATTTCAGTAATTGAAAAATAGATTCGGAGTCAAAAAATTTCATCTGGAGAGCAAGCCAGGTAGACAGCACAGAAACACACTTCCTAACGCAACATGTCCACCAGGAAATGCGAGCAAATGTAGGGACATTACCAATCAAACTTAGCCATTCTTCACCCAATATATGGCAGACATTAAGAAAATAAGACCACCCAATATCACTAGGCGCTAATGACTACGGTGAACTGGACTTCTATTACATGCTTCAAATTAAAATCCCAGCAAGATGGCAGCGATAAAAGCTCAGAAGACCAGCACACAAGAAAGGAGGAGAATGACAAAACCAGAAAAACATTTAATAGGAGTGTACAGGAACATGTCTATGGATGACTTAAGAATGGTCCAGTGACGGACCATATATATCAAGTGAATCATTTGAGAATGGTCCAGGACGGACCGAAACGTCGTCGTCCCTTCACATTCTAGTGTGTGGTCTGGTCAACATACTTTAGCCACGTTATTGTGAATCATCGCCTGCATATGTCTATGGAAGATATAATAGACTACGTAGCCCACAAAATGCCAGAAATTAAAGCTAGACTCATAATAGCATGAAGGGACAAAGCAGCATAAGACAATGTGTGTGACAAAGCCTTGGTGCAAGACACACACAGGACCTTGGAAGAGGTACAGACCAAGCAGATAACCTCAGCACTGTAACAACTACAGCAGAGAAAGAAACGCAAAGGTGACTATGAGAGAAACATAGAAGAAATACAATGATGATCAAGCATCCACTGGCTATTGAATAATCAAAACAGTCCCATCAGGAGATAAACGTCAGAGTCCCACAATTTCACAGTCCTCACAATTTCACAGTCCCATCAGGAGATAAACGGCTGTAAACCATCAAGTAGTTAACATAGATCAGAAAAGACGGAACCAATGGGAAAATAAGTGACACTAAACAAAGCTTCCAGGAAGCGCTCAAGCTGAAACTTGAGCATTTATTGGAGGTAGAGGGCAGAACATCCCTTGAGTGAGACTCTAAGCTGCATACATGTTATAGCAGATGAGGTAAGGAAATAGCTTGAAGATCTAGACGTTCTAAACACCGTTGGACCAAATTCTTCCAGTGGGTGATAAGAGATTGTAACTATATGTCTGACCAAATCACTTTCAGTAATCTCACTGCTTCATTGGTGAGGGGAGAACTACCAAACAGCTGGAAGACTGCGCGTCATACCTATATTTAAAAACTGAGATATGTAAGAAGCACTAAACTTCCGCACCGTATTGTTAACATATACACTGTAGGGACTAGCGAAATTAACCAGAAGAGGAAAAATTGCAAAAACGTTTAGAGCAAAACTTCAACAGAGATTCGCAGAAGGGAAATCATGCGTGACCAATACGCAAGTCTATGACAAGATACCTGAGAGCACGGAGGAAGCCGCTACTGGCACTCTTCCACGCAAGAAGCCACTTGCCACTGGTAGGGCCACTGGTAGGGCCACTGGTAGGGCCACTGGAGCCACTAGGTATGGTCACTGGTACTCCCTTATCCAGTGGATAAGGGAGTACCTAAGCAATAGGAAGCAGAGAGTTACAGTGAGGGATGAAACCTCAGATCGGCGGGAAGTCACAAGTGGAGTCCCACAGGGTTCTGTACTCGGACCTATCCTGTTTCTGATATACGTAAATGATCTCCCAGAGGGTATAGACTCATTCCTCTCAATGGTAAATGATGATGCCAAAATTATGAGAAGCATTAAGACAGAGGACAAAATGAGGCTTCAAGAAGACCAAGGACAAGCTGAAGGAATGGTCCAACAAATGGTTGTTAAAGTTTACTTGGGTTATTTGCTTGGGTTGTTACCCAAGCAAATGTAATATAATGGAGATAGGTGTAGGGAGCAGGAGGCCAGATACAAGGTATCACTTGGGAGATTAAATTCTTGTAGAATCACAGAGAGAGAAAGACCTGTTGGTTGATATCACGCCAGAACTGTCCCTCGAAGCCCATATCAAGAGGATAACATCAGCGGCATATGCCAGGTTGGGCAAGATAAGAACGGCTTTAGAAACTTGTGTAATCATTCAGAACCTTGTATACCATGTATGTCAGACCAATCCTGGTAGTATGCAGCCCCAGCATGGAGTCCATTTCTCGCCAATCATAAAACTAAATAGGAGAAAACTATTTAAAACTAGTACCCGAACTGAGAGGTATGAGCTACGAGGAGAGACTACGGGAATTAAACCTCACGTCGCTGGAAGACAGGAGAGTTCGGGGGACATGATCACCACATACAAGATTCTCAGAGGAATTGAGAGGGTAGATAAAGACAGGCTATTTAACACAAGGAGCACACACACTAGGGGACACAGGCGGAAATTGAGTGCCCAAATGAGCCATAAAGACATTAGAAAGAATTTTTTAGTGTAGGAGTAGTTAATAAATGGAATGCATCAGGCAGTGATGTGGTGGAAGCTGACTCCATACACAGTTTCAAGTGTAGTTATGATACAGTCAAATCGGCTCAGGAACCTGTACACCAGTTGATTGACGGTTGCGAGGCGAAACCAAAGAGCCGAAGTCCCCAAAGCACAACTAGGTGAGTATAGGTAGGAAATACAAATAGTAAAAGCGCGCACACACACACACACACACACACACACACACACACACACACACACACACACACACACACACACACACACACACACACACACACACACACACACAATACACATAGCGATATTAATGTGTAAAAAACAATAAAATTTGGGAAAAAGAGATACACAAAAAGAAACTTAAATTTTTTTAAGACAGACAAATGACTTCATCAAGAGAAAGAGAAGGAAAAAAAAAGGAGCCTCGCTAGGTGTAATTAGAAGCTTTTTTTTACCAGGACACTTACTCGTTCACGGAACAATTACATCAACAAGAACAATGACAAAAACTTTAACATGTTACTTATATATTTGTTCTGCGTCTCGGAGCTTGTCGAAATGTCCGTTGTCTTTGAGCGATAACATTGGTTATTGACGTTAGAATTTGATGCCGCTAGTAGTGTCCACTCCCTGTGTCCACTCCCAGTGTCCACTCCCTGTGTCCACTCCCAGTGTCCACTCACTGTGTCCACTCCCTGTGTCCACTCCCAGTGTCCACTCCCAGTGTCCACTCCCTGTGTCCACTCCCAGTGTCCACTCCCTGTGTCCACTCCCTGTGTCCACTCCCAGTGTCCACTCAATGTGTCCACTCCCTGTGTCCACTCCCTGTGTCCACTCCCTGTGTCCACTCCCAGTGTCCACTCAATGTGTCCACTCCCAGTGTCCACTCCCTGTGTCCACTCCCAGTATCCACTCCCTGTGTCCACTCCCAGTGTCCACTCCCAGTGTCCACTCCCAGTGTCCACTCCCTGTGTCCACTCCCTGTGTCCACTCCCTGTGTCCACTCCCAGTGTCCACTCCCTGTGTCCACTCCCTGTGTCCACTCCCAGTGTCCACTCCCAGTGTCCACTCCCTGTGTCTACTCCCTGTGTCCACTCCCAGTGTCCACTCCCTGTGTCCACTCCCTGTGTCCACTCCCTGTGTCCACTCCCATTGTCCACTCCCTGTGTCCACTCCCTGTGTCTACTCCCAGTGTCCACTCCCAGTGTCCACTCCCTGTGTCCACTCCCTGTGTCCACTCCCTGTGTCCACTCCCAGTGTCCACTCCCAGTGTCCACTCCCTGTGTCCACTCCCTGTGTCCACTCCCCGTGTCCACTCCCTGTGTCCACTCCCAGTGTCCACTCCCAGTGTCCACTCCCCGTGTCCACTCCCTGTGTCCACTCCCAGTGTCCACTCCCAGTGTCCACTCCCTGTGTCCACTCCCTGTGTCCACTCCCAGTGTCCACTCCCTGTGTCCACTCCCTGTGTCCACTCCCTGTGTCCACTCCCCGTGTCCACTCCCTGTGTCCACTCCCTGTGTCCACTCCCAGTGTCCACTCCCTGTGTCCACTCCCTGTGTCCACTCCCTGTGTCCACTCCCTGTGTCCACTCCCAGTGTCCACTCCCTGTGTCCACTCCCAGTGTCCACTCCCAGTGTCCACTCCCAGTGTCCACTCCCTGTGTCCACTCCCAGTGTCCACTCCCAGTGTCCACTCCCTGTGTCCACTCCCTGTGTCCACTCCCAGTGTCCACTCCCTGTGTCCACTCCCTGTGTCCACTCCCTGTGTCCACTCCCCGTGTCCACTCCCTGTGTCCACTCCCTGTGTCCACTCCCAGTGTCCACTCCCAGTGTCCACTCCCTGTGTCCACTCCCAGTGTCCACTCCCCGTGTCCACTCCCAGTGTCCACTCCCAGTGTCCACTCCCTGTGTCCACTCCCAGTGTCCACTCCCAGTGTCCACTCCCAGTGTCCACTCCCTGTGTCCACTCCCAGTGTCCACTCCCCGTGTCCACTCCCAGTGTCCACTCCCTGTGTCCACTCCGTGTCCACTCCCAGTGTCCACTCCCAGTGTCCACTCCCAGTGTCCACTCCCTGTGTCCACTCCCTGTGTCCACTCCCTGTGTCCACTCCCTGTGTCCACTCCCAGTGTCCACTCCCTGTGTCCACTCCCAGTGTCCACTCCCTGTGTCCACTCCCTGTGTCCACTCCCTGTGTCCACTCCGTGTCCACTCCCAGTGTCCACTCCCAGTGTCCACTCCCAGTGTCCACTCCCTGTGTCCACTCCCTGTGTCCACTCCCTGTGTCCACTCCCAGTGTCCACTCCCAGTGTCCACTCCCAGTGTCCACTCCCTGTGTCCAC